GGCTTCTCACTGGAGCACGCTGGAAAGACTTTGCGGCTCGCTATAATGGGGAGATTCATCTGACATGGCAGTGCACGTTCAAAAGGAAGCCCCACCCCCTATGCTACTTTTCACGCCGCATCTGCTCGTAATTAAAGAAGACGTTTAACACTATTGTATCACTGCAATTACATATTTCATTCCCTTCATGGAGTGGATATCATCGAGGCAGCCCACGAGAATGAAAGCGGAATGCTTCCCTCAACTCTGCAATCGTTGCGGGAGCCGCTGATTGTATCATGAATTAAATGTACTTCCGAACCGTAGGCTTTGAAAACCACATCAATATTACGGAGAAAGAAAATTTGACCATTCTGTGTCACGGTTAACATCGGTCTCATAAAAAGGTCCCCCTCCCTGTTTCTATAAACGCTAAACTGAAGCAACGTGGCATGAGCAAAGAGACTTTTTTTTTTTGCAGAGATTGGAGCACAAAGCTGGTGGCAAGTCAAGTATTATGATGAGGATGATTTGAAATTGCCTTGGTATGACTATGACGCGACTAGCTTGATATCATCCTCGATGACTTTAGCAGTCAATTGTACAAAACGTCCAGCCGTCCATTTTCTCAAGTCTTAGTCGGGTCGCGGGCGAACGGCAGGGTGCGCCATCGCCCGACTCGTTTCTCCCACGGGCGTGGAGGTCGTCATCCGGTCCGTCACAAAGCAATTCGTGACGGACTTCCACTTCCGCACGACCTAACCCGAATTTGTCCCCAAAGTTCGCGCCGCGGCACATTGTTCATCTACGCTAACAAAGGAAGTCATCCTGAGAAGAAATGTTTGCATGAACAACACAGGGTGAGCGTTCAAGACCTCAATTCAAGAGTGAGTAAATGAAGTGGGGGGGGGGGCACAGCATTGGTAACTTCAAAACATCATTTGTCGGTACCGTCGTAAAGCGAGGAACTCATTTTCCTACCTCTCGGCAACCTGTCCGATTTTTGTTTCCCGCGTTCGTGCTCACCCACCCTCTCTTTTTTCTCTCTCTCTCTCTCTTTACACGTCCGGCCCGCCGCACCGCTTCTCTCACAGTGGGTAATGTGAAGGGACTTAGTCTCCCGGGTGTCGAGGCCCCCCCTCTCAAGCCTCGCAGGCAAATGTGTGGCGGGCGCTCGGATGGGAGCGGCGCGCGCCGAGTCGGCGGCGCTCCGCGGGGGCAAAGAACACAACGAAGTGAAAGGATGATGACGGGTTCGGTCTTGGACTCGCAGGACGAAATCGCCCGCCGCACGCCGAGCGCAGCCGAGCAGCAAGCGGGCCGCCCGGCCGGCCGAGGCAGAGTGTTCTTGACAGCGCTTTGTTTGGGATCCGCAAGGACTTGACATATGCCTCCAATCATTTGCCCTCGCCGCGACGCGGATCCACGCTCCTCCGTGATCGGAGACAGGGCCCCGCTGTCGACTGTGTGCCACTGAGTGTGTGCCACATGGATCACAAATGTGTGTGTGTGTGTGTGTGTGTGTGTGTGTGAGAGAGAGAGAGAGAGAGAGCGAGCACTGGGGTGCTTACAGTCTAAGTGTTTGTTTTTAGCTCGACGGGAAAAGTCAACAGAAACATCCGACAGCGCTACTGCTGAATTCACTGCTTGTCAGTCTTTATTCCGAGGCCTTTCAAGACGCAGACGCCACCAAGTAGAAATAAAAACGGGAAACTCAAGTTGGTCTGGCCAAAACATATCATCTCCCAGCTTTTTCTGTCTAGAAGAGATCATCCGGCCGGGAGGGCCCATTTTTCACTCCAAAATCCCGATGTCTTTTTGAGTCAATCAATCAAACTTTATTTGAAGAGCAATTTCGGTCCAAGTTTGAAATTTGGCCAAGCAAAGCTCCGGCGCACAGCCGCCGAACTGAAATGGACTTTCAGTGCCGAGTTGATGTGGACAAGAGTCGCCATGTGCAAATGAATTTTGGTTGACAGACATTTAGCAACAACACATTTTTTTTTTCCAGACCGCAGTCGGCGATTAGCTCCGTGCAGCTTGCAGGCTAACACCAGTGGTTTTGTTGAGCGCAATGCGGAGACTATCGTCACAGCTATACCTTCGGCAATTATGCAAATCAACCGGACGTTGAATTGTTCCGCGCCACTTCTTGCAGAATTTCACGTGGTCTCCTCTAAAAAGCGCCCAGGTCGAGTTAGGCTGCCGCTGTCGTCGACGGCGTACCTGGGTGCTGCGCCGCATCATAAATGGCGGGATTGCCTGGGAGCACAGGACTAATTAACAGCGTGCCCTCACTCCTCTACCTAATTGTCCACGTACAGCTGATCAGTCCCTTTTTTTTTTTTTTAAACAAGGCACTTATTGAGATCATTGATTTGAGAAATGAGCCAGTGGACGGTACGAACGCGAGATTTGACCGGGTAGTCAGTTAAGAGCATTCGGAGGATGCTCCGCGGGCAGCGCTCATTGGAACTCATTGACTGTGAAGCCCGTCCCGAGCAACATTTGAGAAGAGCGCTTTTTCGGTCTGCTCCTTATCGATGTGATGGATAAAAGAGGCAGAAGGCCAATCCAGGGTGGAAAAGACGAGTGACATGAAAGGCCCGCGTTGATCTTTTTTTTTTTCCTTTAACAATTGGGTTGAACAACGCGTTTTACAAGATGAATTCTATGAAAAGGGAAAAATCTGCCTTTACAACGACACGAGTCAGTTTTGATTTGGGCCGTCATACTGAGGCAGACCGGTATGTTCCATGTCTTGCAAAGCTACTATTTCTTGTTTTGCATCTGTCAATCTGGCTCGATGATACAGGAGGTATAAACCTTTGGACACCTGCACTCTACACTGATCTGACCGAGTGGATATTTTGCATTTCGTGCAATATCGCTGATCGACAGTCATGTCACAGTTTGCGTGATCTATCAAGGACATCATTGACGGTAGCGGCGAACTGGGACATTTCGGCTAACGCGGCCTCGTTCACTCTGGGATTCTTCCTGGGCCGCTTCGATCCGAACGCGACGAAACCTCCATTGACTTCCACAAGTGCCACATGTATTTGCTGGGAGCATTTGATGAGCCACTCGCGAGGGAAAAACAACATTGCACAAGAAGCCCTTGCTGCCCCCCCCGCCGCCCCCACAAAATGCCGTTTACTTCATGAATTCAGAGGTGAGCGTCACATGCGGTGTGAACGGCCTTCCTGTTGGATACCAATTCAGAAGAGATCAATCTTCTCCCTGCCCGTGTCATCAGCTTTAAGGCTGTCTAATGACTCGGAACGAAGGCGCCGCTCATTTCTTAATGTGGGCCTACTGGGAACCATCCTCTCACCCCAGGTTGTCCACTCATCAGTTCCAAAGGACAAGCTTTCCTCCCTCCATTCAAAGCGTCATGACACGATTGCCGCCTTTGTCTATTGGATCAGAAATAAGAGTCCATTTCTGCCCCCAAAAGGTACAATCCACAGTCAAGAACCCAAAGCGAATCCTTTGATCAATTTCATTCTTGACTCCACGTTAGGTATCCTAGGGGATCCCTTCCGGGAACGCCCCCGGAGACATCGGCGTCCCTCCGGCGTGTCCCGGCTCGTCTCCGGGGCCTCCCGGCGACGGGATGTGCCCTGAACACCTCACCGGGGAGGCGTCCCGATCAGATGCCCGATGATTGGTGCCTCCACCGTAAGACAATGCGGTCGAAGATGACTCAAGCAGAAAGCGGAGGGGAAGAGTCCGCCTCGCGGCTCTCTTCGTTTTGATCTTCTGGCGCTTCTTCCCCTTCTCGTTCGCACCCGGCATGCGCTTGGCCATCGGCCACACTCACTTGTGCTCCTTCGTTATGATCCCTCCACTTCGTGATAGAAAGAAATGATTTGTTCCATTCGCATTCGCCCTCCATCGGCCACACTCACTTGTGCTCCTTCGCTATGATCCCTCCACTTCATGAAAGAAAGAAATGATTTGTTCCATTCCCATTCGCCCTCTGTTGTGCGAGATGGAGTATTTTCATTCCATGTGCCGATTTGGTTTCATTCTCGTCGGAATACAAGGCGGTAAACACGACTACAGTCATTTGCATCGGACATTTGCAAAGGGCTGCTTTGACTGGTTGTTGATCTGACATGTTACAGCCCAAACTAGTAACAGAATCGCAATTTGTTGGCACTGTCAATTTGAAGCAATGTCTCGGTTTTCAGTAAAAAAAAAAAGATATCGGAATTGAACAAATGGGGGGGCGGAGGTATGTGAAGCGCACGGTCACCAATTAGATTCCAAGAGTAAGCCGATGCAAAGCCGAATGGTAGAAAGGCCCCCCCAATCCCAGTGATTGTCAACAACTCGCAAGGAAATAGACCAGTAATGGGGGCGGGGGGGGTGGGGGCTTCGCACGTGTTGCAAATCCATAAACCTAGCTAATCTGCTTGGCGGGAGAAATGGAAAGCAGTTGAGACCTCACTTTCTCAGCGTTGCGCCATTATGTAAATTGAAGCCAATCTAAGCCCCGCCATGAAGAAGCTTTGTAATAGAGCCTTGATTAGCGAGGCGGTTTGGAATCAGCCATAAAAAGAGTCATATAAATGGCTACATTGAGCCCGGCATCATTTTGCCCACTGAACTTAATTTGACTTTGAAGCCACACTGGGTTTTATGAACATTACGGTAACCATCAATGTTAAGTGAATTTTTATTTCTCATTTCTTCTTCTTTTTTCCCCCCCCGTGTTTGATGGCGTTATTAGATTGAATGCCATTTCAGCAACGTGTGTTATTTGAACATGCGTTTATGACCGTACTCTCGGTGGACACAAAATTCGTGACACCTGGCCAATGGAATGTGAGCTAATTAATGCAAGGCCCGCATTTGTAAAGTCTACCTTTTGAGAAAGAAAAATGTACCCTTGTGATACACGTTTCTTGTTGTCGAGGTACTTTGTCGAATTCTACGCATTACTGTCGCTTTTCGGTGGTCATCTCGAGCGACTACACCATCAGGTACGAGATCAGTAAACACAAACTTACCGATTGTTTCCTCATCGTTTCGGATTAGGTAGGTCAGGGGTGCCCAATACGACCGGTAGCCCGCGGACCGGTCCAGGGTCGATCGTGATGAGGGCCGCAGTGGGTAGCACCCAAAGGAGGTCTCTTCAACTGATGGTTCACAACTTTTATTGAACAGCCAGCCACACGCCGTGAGACCTACAATAGAGAATAAACATGAAATACACATAATAACTCCAACGGTATGTTTTGCACATCCTTTAACTAACCCAAAACATAGACCGGAAATTGATTACAGCGCCTTAAACTTCAACGATTACAAACCTGAACCTTAGGCTACAGCATCGCTACATATTGATCAAGATGCATTTGCACTCTCCAGTGAATGAAAAACGAAACAAAGCAGCGAATCGTAAACACTGTGAAATTACGCGAAATCTCGTTCCCTTCTCAACCAAGTGCGAATGAATCGTTCCGTTTCACTTACCACGGTTTTGTTTTGTCTGGTTTGACGGCGAGATCGTGTCAGTTATTGACGTCAAAGCTTCATGAATTACGACATCTTCCTTTCCTATCTCATTCAAAATAAAAGCATTGGGCATGTTATCAAAATCGCAAGTCTGCAAGACCAAAAGTTACAGCAAGGTCACTTACATAGAGGGAAATGGGGGGGAAAAAAACATTTGTGTGTCTGTGTTCCTGTTATTCGTATATATTTTTGTGTTAGTGTACACTGCACCCGAAGCCTCTTTCTCAATTTCACGAAAAGTATTTCAAAGATAGAATAAAATAAAAAAGCAGGTCACCTGGAACTTAGGAAGGCGCACGATCCGCATCACCGGAACTTGTTAGCGGTCAGCAGTCTGCAACTGCAGCTTGCGATCAGAGCTGGTGTCGGCGTACCTAATAATGTGTCCCGTGAGCGTGAAAACAAAGTTTTCATACAACCCAATTTAAGAAACCCTTGCAATTACTTGACTGTTGGTCCCTCATTAGGCGTCCTGTTTTTCAACACCACCTCCGGGTGGAAAATCCACTAATGAGGACACCGCGTTGAGCGGGCCCGCCCATCCTCTTCTCCGTCCTTAATTAAGCAGCGTGACTCTCCTCCTCGAGCCAACAGCATCCAGAGATGGGGTCGAAGAAAAACAAAAAACAAAAAAAAAAAACCATTCACACCCGGGCGAAGTAAAGACAATGCACATATTCATCATGTTTGGAAAGAAGTGTCTATTTGTTCATTTATACCGTGTGCTTCACGATTATGTTTTTGTTTGAGGTTGGATGAAAGCGGCTGGAGGCTCCTGTGCTTGGTGTACATTGTCTCATTCGAGATAAAGGCTGAAGAAGTGGCATAGCATACTGACTGGAGCGCTTGACATTTACCGGAACCAACAGAGATGCTTGTATTGGCCTTCCTTTTTTTATTTTTAAAAGAAAATGTTCACAGGTGCCCATAATGTGCAAAACATAGTGTTGTCAAGAATTTAAGATGAAGATCAACGATTTTTTTTTGGGGGGGGGGGGGCTTAT